CTCTTCGGTGTACTGCATTTGTCATGGGCGTGCTTCCCAAATAGCGTCTGCCGTGCCCTGATCCATCCCCGGTGTCGGCCCAGCGTATCTATCGCGCAGCCCTCTCGAAGGGCAATGCCGATACCTACATGGATTTGAAAATGTTCTTTGGAATAAAAACGTAACTTTAATTAGTGAAGTTTCGAGTCTAGTGTCTCAGCTCGTCTTCCGACTAACAGGAAATGTGCAATGAACAACTAAAGTTTCAAACGAACGGAAAACATAAATAGTTATATGGGGAGGAGACCTGATTGGTAGTTGTGGCCTCAGTCTATATCGTGCGGCCTTCGTCTTTTCGCCTGTCCTTTGACGCGTTTATAAATACCGTCCAACTCTATGTGGCGGTTGATGCACTCAGACGATTCATGCATTAACCGCCACATAGAGTTGGATGTTATTTATAAACACGTCAAAGAACAGGGGAAAAGACGAAGGCCGCGCGACACAGACTGAGGCCACAACTACCAATCAGGTCTCCCTCCATATAACTATTGATTTTCTCAGCACGTTTGAAATTTCAGTTGTTCATTGCACATTTCCTGTTATTCTGGGGCACCAGACTCGAAACTTCACTGATTAAAGTTACCTTTTTATCCCAACCGGCATCTTCTTCAAATTAAAATTTCTTGGGATTCGTGTTTTCCAGTTTATACGAACCTAACTGGATATAAGCACCCGTCTGCTCTTCAAAGCAGGTCAGCTCCTTGCTCCAGTACAAGGGTTGCATCTGCATGCAGTTTTGTCATTTTCCAGTCTTGCCACATATTCATTTTTCACTGGTACACTGCAAAGTTAAGTGGGATCCTTTCTAGCTAAGTCTGGATGGCACGCGTATTACTGTTGTCTTCAGGAATCCAATAGACTGGTGCACGTCCATTCCTGCCTGGCCACCTTTGAATGGGCTAGAGGTTTTTTTATACAGTCGAAACAGTTGAAATGCAGGGACCCGGTTGCTGGAACCATTATTTTATTCATCTGACCTTTCGAATTCACGTTCAAACACGTTATCGGAGGAAAATGCAGAATTGTCTGCCGGATACAACTAGGATAAAGTTGCTTATACAATGCAGTTGCTATGTCACCACAAACCTATCATGATTTTTAGTTCCCACATTAATCCCAGACAGTCATGCATGCTGATGCGGTGATAGGTTGATGGCCCGCTTCCCTACCGTTAGTTGCCTTAACTGACGTTGGTTATTGCTCGCTCCTTTGGCTCACCGATCTTGTCACCGAACCCATAGCTCGTCCGTACCCTCACCACATTACTAATTATTTAAACACACGTATTTATCAGACAAATTAAATCTCTTGCTACTACGCCCTAACGGCCGTACCCTAACGTCAAATAAAACCAACTAACACGTTGTAAGACTGATTTTTACTCAATTCAACTCAGTTTATTGAGAGAAACTGGCGTGCGCCTTTGCGTACCCTAATTGTAACATAAACTTCAGGGTGGTGTCCAGAGAAACCAATTGGTCTGTAATTGTTTAAAGAAGACCATAAAATCTGACAATTTGGGCGTGATTCTCAATAGTTAAATTCAATCTTTCATAACTGCGGTTTATTTCGAAAAGTAAGTCGATTGAGGTTCCTTTCAGGACTTTCCATCGATGTTGACATCCCACAATCTGTAGGGAGGCTATGCCGTAGTTTGCCCACTCTGGTAGAGTGGGATAACTTACGCTCATGCGCAGGTTTAATGTGTGGCTTCGGATACTGGTTGTGGTATTACATTTTAAAAACGACCACAATCTTATCTCTTCAAAATACGCAATGCTTGTGAGAGATTGCCGCTCATTTGCCTATAATTCCAAGGAAAGTGATTAAAATGTGTTCAAATCTGATAGTTTCCAACTTCTGCGTGGGATCAATTTGCGAATCCGACCTTCTTGTCGATACTTCCTGCGCCTACATAGGCAAACAGTCTTCCTGCAAAAAAAAGAGCCCACTCCAGCAGTGATCCATGTCGACAGTTTTTTTTTCTTCTCTCCAGCCCGTCGCAAAAAATGCGTTCGAACGCCAACCGCAATGCTTCGGTGCCTCGGGTCTCAAATACTGTCACTGTAGATGGACACGCCAGCGCAACTGTCACTGCTGGCTATCAGCGTCATCCCCTCGTCATAAACGTCTCAGCTGTCACCAAAGGCCTCACGGTCAGTGTGTCTCTGCATCCCTCGCTCAACGCCGTCTACGAGGTGGATCCGGTCTACTTTCTGGGTCAGATTGGACCCACGGGCTTTGTGGACATTACACTCACCAAGCACGCCTTGAGTTTCAAATCAGTGGTGAGTTTCGGTGTCCATTTATCAGACTAAGCTTGTTTGTTTTTTTTTCAACTTTAAGAAAGCCCTGCCTATGCATTGATCCCCCTACGCACTGGGCTACAAAATTTCGTTTAACAGCCGACGGGATTTATAATTGTAGACGATGGGGCATAGAATGCTGGGACGACTTATTTGTTGCAAGCCGCGTACAAATCCTACAACAACCTGCAATTTTGCGCTGGCTGCGTCAGCCCTGAGCTGTGCTTGTCGAGTGACCATATTAATTGGCATTGCCTCATTCCAGACTTTCGGAGCGGGTCGGGTTTAGTCTGGGCAACTTTGCGCCATTATTTCAAGTTAAATATGCACCGAGCATTTGTCCCCTTACAGACACAATCACAACGCTCCTTAGGGCAACTTATCTATGCTAGGTATCTCTCACAGTCAGAAAACGTTTACCGTGGGGTGGGGCTGAACCGCTGACTCATCGAGTTAACGCTGGATTTTCTACCTTATTACCCCGTGTACATTCTGTCGCACAGTCTCTCTTCCCTTACCCTCCTGGATCCGGTGTCAGAACAGATTCACGGCGATCGGAAATCAGATCCACACTCCCCCCCCTATCTG